TGTGCAGGCCTCCGGGCATGTACGAGGTCTGACAATAAAGTTCGCGAACTCGCCACCGTTTGCTTGCCGTGACAGCAGTGGACAGAAACCTCAGCATGGTTTGATGACGCTGGCATATCAGCTTTTCACAGCTGTGTTGTTGTTGATCTATGGCAGTCTCCTTCTGGGTGGCACATATTATTGTCCGAGTGTTTTGATGTGCCGGAGCTTGAATTAGAGCACTGTCTGTGAGGGAGTTTTTAGCTAGTAAACAAATAACTGTGCTGGAACTCCCTATTCACCGGATCTAACCACCAATGACCTTTTTCTGTTCCCGAAGATAAAGGATATATTGAGAGGAAGGCATTTTGATGACTTCGGGAATAATTTTGTGACAGTTATGAAGGCCATTCCACAAAACCAGTTCCAAAATTGCTTTGAAGAGTGGACTAGCCTCTTGCATCGGGGCACAGCTTCCCAAAGGGGAGTACTTTAGTACTCAGCAATGATGTGAGTTCGCGAACTTTATTGTCATGCCATGTATTCATTCAACAGATGCCTCATTAATCTAGATCTAAACGTACATGACGTTGATGTGTTAGCCGTAAGTATAATATGGCCGCGCCATAGCTCAAGCGGTTACTCGCTGGCTTCCCATCGCGGCGGCCCGGATTCGATCCCGGGTCTGGTCAAGTGGGATTTTTGGTGGACAAAGTGGCGTTGGGGTGCTTTTTCTCCGAGTACCTCGGTTTCCCCCTGCCAATCTTCATTCCACCAAATTCCCCATCATCATAATCACCCGGGACAGGCTACAATAGGCCAATCAGTGGCCGCCGTGCCGAGTGGACCCAGTTGGACTCCACCCCTCACTATGCGAATTTAAGAAAAAGGTATTAATATTATTTTGGACTTCCATTCTAGGATATTCAGGACAGACGATTTTTTTTTCAAATACTTCCAAATTTTATTGTTACTATTTCGTGTATTTTCCTCCGGGGTCAGAGCGGCTGGGACATGATGCTGACAACTCACTTTCATCTAGTGCCAAGGTCAAGAATGATGGAGCTATACTTCCACTCCTACATACGCCTTCATGACGTAGTACTTAACTAATTAGGCACAGGTACAACTTTACATTTCGTTTATTTTCTTGTTTTTATTCAATATCATTCTCTC